ATCAGTTACGAAACAAAGAAATTGATTTTTAAATAAGAAAATTGTAGGTTCCTATTCTTCAAAGGGTTTATCTTGTTACTAACATTATTATTATTATTATTATTATTATTTATAAGATGATCTATAAAAACGGTTGTTATAGTTGTATCGTTTAAATGCACGCATCGATGCTCTCTTGTTATTTTCTTTCTCCTCGCGGGAAAACTTTCGCCCGTAACCGTTTAGAAACTTTTCTCTTTATATGTAATCTAACTGTACTTATATATACTTACATATATGTATATATATATATATATATATATAAACATATATATGTAAATAAGAAGAGAAAGATAAACGAATGTATATTTATTTATTGTGCGAAAAAAATACATTGACATTTTTATAACGCAATTACAGATGGAAGGTTAGTGCGTCGCAAGAAAAAAAAGAGAGAGAGAGAGAGAAACAAAAATAAAAAGAAAAAAGAAGAAGAAAATAACGGATAGGAGGTAAAGAAGCGAACAGCAAAGTGTATGAATCAGAGACGTAGATCGTGGCATTGATCAAGGTTCCTGATCTATCTAGATTTACGGATAAGGTAAAGACAACATTATGTATATAGGAAAACGAATTTAACTTCTTTTTCTTGTTAAACAAAAAAAAGAAAAAAAATGAACAGGAAATGAAGGTATATTGTATAGTTACATATGTTTATTATATACGCGTAGTATACGTGTAATTAATTTTAAAGTGCAACGTGCTGGAAATGACATTAAAATAAAATGTAAAAAAAAAAATTGATCATCGTTGTTGATAAAAGAATTTAATGAAAAAGATATTTTTTTGCTTGTATATATATAGAGAAAGTTAGTCGTGTTATCTTATCGAATATCGTTGAGTGATACAAAGATAGATGATCATAATTCTCATGACGTACCTAGATTACAATTGTCTTGAGCTTCTTCGCATCTTGAAACTACCCTAATAATCGCTCGACCCGCCAATTGGACGCAAACAGCCATGGCCACGTTCCTTTCTCCTTGCTCTTGAGGTATCTCTTGTACCTCTTCTGCATTATACGCTGGTGGTCTCATCTTCTTCCGTTTTTTATTTTTTATCAATAAAAATCCGAACAATATCTTCGTCGTTGTTAATTACTTTCTTATTTTTTAATTTTTCTTTTGTGTTTTGTTTTATTATATTTATATAAATATATATATATATAATTCTTTCGATTTGTTTATATATTTTCACTCAAAAACAATGTATCATTAAATATAATAATAAAGCAACACTAATAATAATATTTTCCCCTATAAATGAAAATTCTTGTATATCGTATTCTAATTTCTTTTGTTTTATTTTTTTAATTTGTTATTTCAAATTAATTATCTCAATCACCGTCGACCAATAGAAAATCGTTGTTGAACATTCGAATGGTAAGATCTCATTGGTCGATTATTTCAAATTTATTTTCTATATTATGTTTCATGGGAATAACTTGAATAGACGACACCTTTTATTAATAATAACATGCACAATATGTGTTTCCTTTATCTTACTTATTGTTGACTAATCAAAAATACAAAATTATTTGAAATCAGCAATATTAAACGAACGTTGTCTTTGCACTAACGTAAGTTAAAGCATACGGTGCTATTTAAGCCTTCTCTAACTCTTCTCCCACCACGAGGATGCATTTTGAATCAGCTGACTACTACTACTTTGTTCCGACTATCTCTCTCTCTCTCTCTCTCTCTCTCCTCTTTCTTCCTTTCTCCCTCTCTCTTTCTCTCTCACTCTTTCCTTCTTCCTCTTTGTTTGAAAACAGCTGTAGGGAGTACGACGTACTTACTACTTACGTAGATTCAGAAAGAACAACCTGTCAAAAGTAGCCCTCACCTTTTCTACGAATCATATTCTAACTATTTTATTTTTTTTTCTTCTTCTTCTTTATCTTTTTTCTTCTTCAAGGCCACCTTCATTCGGAGGATAAATTGCGGTCTCAGGAAGCTCAGTGATCTCTTTTCTTTGTGCGTACATTATTTCTTTGGTGTCAACAATTATACTAATTTTGTTTCTTTTTTTTTTTTTTTTCAAGAGAAGATAACATTTTTATTATTATTATTATTATAGGAGGGATATTATTTTGTTTATAATTATTGAAAATAATGTTATCATTTTTAACATTAAATTGTTTCTATTGTTTTGATCAATTTTTATTAAGATAAATTTGATTTTGATCGTTTGTTTATAGTAAATTGGTCAATGAACATGTGCGATTGGTTTGTTTCGATCCACTTTTTGTTTAATTTTGTTTTTATTAGAGTTAGAAGGACAGTTAGCTTGAGATAGTGTGTTCATGCCAATGTTATTGTTCGTTCGGCAAGTTGCCCAAATAAATCTCGTCTTTCGCAAACTCTATCTCTCGTTAAAAAGATATTTAATTAATTATTAATTGTAAGCACTCGATGTTTGAGACAATTATAATATGATTAAAATGATTAGAAATTTTTAGTAAAGATGCTTAAAAATATTCATACATTTATCGCTTTATAATCGTACCGTTTTTAAAATAATAATTGGCACTAATGCCAAAAAATGAGTTTCATAAATTAATGAAATATTTCACCATAAAAATGTACTTTTGTGAAATCAATTTCAATTCGTTGAACAAAAGAGAAGCAATGTATAATTTGTGTTTATTTAAATAATATTCATCTATTGTCTTGCATAAATTTTTTAATCTATATTAAATAATTTTCATTCATTTACAAATAATTTCATATAACATTTCTTCCTTTCTTTCCATCGATCTAAGGAAAAAAACAATTTTTTGATTTAGCGTATTGCAAAAAGAAAAAATGGAAAATGGTAGGATCCATTCATCACGAATCTCAGTACCCAAGAGGGATAAAATGTTTATATGACTTTACGCGGTATGTTTGGCTGACAGCCAGAGGATACTGCGCGTGCATTTCATGTACAAGAATAGAATCACCGGCCAAAATCCCCCATGACTTTTCTCTCCTCGTCTTCGTTTTGGCTTTCATTTGGATGATCACGATAAAAGCTTCAGACAAATCCAGTCGATACTCAAAGAATGCAATCTACGCTTTGAACAAAATATTTTTGCTTTTCCATTCCCACTATTAGTAATTATTACGTACACTTCACGCCCACGTACGCATAATAACGAACATCTAAGAAATTATTCAACTTATGTGTTTTTATCAATTTACAACAAACATACATTTCTTTTAAAATACACTAATAAGTAATAGAGAGAAATATTTTATTTTTTAATTATAAATATTTCTTTGTTTTTTTTTCGTTTGTTTATAAATATAATCGTAATAATAGAATTAATTGAAAGAAATAATAATAATATTCGCGTTGTGCTTTTACAATAGTTTTTAATTTACGTTATATTGAAATCTCACGTTTTCTTTTTTTTTTTTTTTGTTGGACGCACTTGGAAAAGATCCGGGAAATCTTTGTAAGAAAAACTGTTTGCCAAGTTGAGAACGTTGGCCCTATTAAAGCATCAGCTTTGACGTCGATTCTTTGTGCGTTCTCGTTTTCAACTGCGTCTTTTCTGCGTTTTACGTATTTTTGTGTTTACCGTATACTCTCGTTTGGTATAATGACGATGGAAACATTCCCAATAATAATAATAATAATAATAATTGTTCATTGGAAAAGATTTCTATTTTATTAACATCTTTGGTAGGGTAATATATGTATGTATACATATATATATATATATACATATACATATATACATATATTTCTTTTTAAAAATGATATTGAAAAATGCAGCTGCACAATTTATATAACGGATATATTTATCTTATACCTTAACAAGACATTTTTCTTTTCTTCTAATATTTGCTAAATTTGCAAAACACAGTGACAAAAATACAGGGAATCACAATAGTATTTATACTCGTTCTCTCACTGTAAATTGTAAATAATTAATATTTGCTTGAAATGCAAAGCTTACAAAAATTTTATACACAAAAACTTCTTTTCAGAATAATACAAACTTTCAAATTGACATAAACGTGATTGCAGAATAACATTTTACTGTTAGAGAAATATCATTTTACTTAAATTAACAAACATTGGTATCACAAGAGTATTTGTATCCACATAAGAAATATATAATAAAAATACGATTATTATTTTTCTAAATTTTACTTGATTAATCCTTCTTTTGAATCTTTCAATTCTTTTGTAAAACAATTGGACATATTTTGAGATCAATTTTCTTATCAATTATATACAATTTTATTTCTCTTATAATAAAATGTTCTTTTTGCAATCAAATTTATATCAATTCCTAAAATATGTTTTCTTGTATAAGAATTAGAAAACATACAAGCATATATCAATTGTTTAAAATTTACAATAGTAGTACGAATACTCCTATGACTCACTGTATATATATGTATACATATATATACATATATATATATGGTGTGTGTGTTGTATGTGTGTGTGTGTGAGTATTTAAAGGCTATGGATGGATTTCTACTAATATTTAACTTTGTTTTATGTAGTACTAAATATATACTACTAATTGGAAGATTACTTTAAAAATCAGTCAGAATTTCTATATATTTTTCGTTGTTGTATAAGACGAATAATACGTTGTTAGGCCCAAATTATTGGGACATACATTTTGATTGCGAAATAGAGTAATTATAATTTATATCACAAGTATATAGTTAAAGAAATATGAAAACATTATGAAAAATACAAGGAGAAAGACGTTAGAAAAAATACATCAGTATCCATTGGCGTTAGATTCCGTTTCTTTAAGTTTCTTAATTTTTCAGTTCATCGGTAAAACACATTAATCCACATTCAATTTATATTTCATTAATAAATTATATGTGTGTATATATATATATATATATATATAATGTAGCGAAACGTAATCGGTTTATCTTGTACTCAGTTTTCTACAAATATACAATCTACTATAAATATAAGTCTTAAACGTTTGGTGTTTACTAGGAGATTCCAATCTTATCGCAATTATATATTTTTGAGTATTATAAGTTGAAACTTCACAATCAGATAGTAATATCTATACGAGTAATACATTCATGCGCGTACGCATGCAATAATTGTTAATCAAGCAATTGAATAATATATCTCAAGTGTCTCTAAAATAAATATATCTATGTTAGAATATTTAGTAAAATTCACAAATTGACTAACGTAGAATATAATTAGAGAACGTGGAAATATTAAAAAATGTTTTTCTTTGTTCGATATATATCTTTGAAGTATATGTAACGCTGAACAATAATACTTATCTAGTGTGCGTAAATAAATTATTTCGTGTTGAAAGTTATCAAATCATGTATCATGATTTTGCGTTGTATTTTTGCTTGACATTCGTTGCTATGCAAACGTGTAACCACTAAAATCACTCTTTCTTGTGTAATAATGATTCATATTCATTTCTTCGTACTATTAGTTCATTTACTAATTTTACATTCTCGGTCCAAAATCGAAGAAAATGAGGACAAAAATAAGAAAACAATTAGATGCTTTGATTTTTCACTGCATTCATTGCATTTCACTTTCATTTTTGTTGCATTTTTTTAATTTTCAGGAGTAATACGCTTTCAATATCAACTTCGCACTTGTAATATATTATTGTATGGTATCGTAGAATATGCAAATTCGTCATTAACTCAAAACTCGAATTTTGACATGCTAGGTGAGTTTTATCATGCAGCGTCACATATGGTTGGATTCAAATTCAATTTTCGTTTTTTGCTTTTTCTAATGCCTCTTGCGCATGCTGCAAACCGGCACAATAATGAAGAAGTAAGACACTCAATGCTTGCACTCTTAAATCACTCTGTGCAATTAATTTAATACTATCGTTCTCTCCGCTTTGAGATAATTCTAATCTTGAGGTAGTTTCAGCATCTAGGGCAGTTTTTAGTTTCCCTATCTGTTATAAAGTCAAATAAATAAATATATATATATATATATGTATGTATATATATATGAATATAAATATAAAAGAAATATTTATGAAATTGTATGTATATTAAAAATAACAATTACCATATCGTTCATTTTCTCGACACGTTCTAATGGCTTCAGAAATTTATATAAGAATTTTCCAGTATCCTTAGCTCTAGACATAAGACCGTCATCCAAATCTCCTGCCACGAGAGGAGCTGCCACGCTTGGTTCAGCACTTTCCAGAAGTTCAGGACTTATACCCAAACCTCCAACCAATGAACTCTAGATGTTTCAATGATTTAATAAGATTTATTAAATATCCATAAGATCGTCAGAACGATCTTGACCCTAAGAGCACGATTTATTCAAAAATGTAATGTTATATAAAAGCACGATGAAATAAATTCAGCTAATATTGCATTTACCTGATCTAAAGTAGATCTGTATGGCTGCTTAATATAATTGTTATTCGTAATAAAAAATATATACATTTTCTTAACACGTTACAATATTCTTCTCGTATTAATAACAGTCGATAGTTTAACAAGTAATTATTGTATCAATCATATAAGAACATGCAAGGAGGTTTTGTAAAGTTATACTGGATCTTTCATGCTTTGTTTTGTTAATGATATTATATTTTGAATAGATTTTATTTTAAAAATAATGAGATGTGAGAAAAGAGAATAAATATAATAAAAAAACAAGAATAAATATATGAAGCTACGCTAAGCTTGTACTACTATACGTGTACATCTAAAAGGAAAATATTACCAATTAATGTTATAAAGTGTTTACAAGGTGACAATGTGCAATGAATTGCGTGTCGAAAAGCGAGCTCCTCCATTTTATAAGCAAATTACGTGTGTGTCAATAAGGTCTACCTTGCGGGATGCACAGGGACTTGGGGGAAGACTTCTAGATGCCAGACCGATACCGGAAGTTGGTGGAGCCAAACAACTGGTACTCCCAGCTTTCTTCAGGCCCAAGAGTGTGTTAGCTATACTAGCCTTCATGGCCATCATACTTGCACCCTGATTAATTGACGAACGTATTTGAATTGTTTATATGTATTTACAAAAACCACGATGAGATGTATCCATAAAGTAAATAGTTGATATATCATATAAGCTGGCAGTATAGACATCTCGTATAGACATTTTCTCCTTACACTTTTATAACTTTGTATATATATATATATATATATATATATATATATATATATGTAACGAAGAAGCATTGACTAGAATATATTATTAGCTTCAAATTTAATAAACATTTAATATCAAAAGCAAGGTCAAGGTGCAAGCCTACAAAAAACCGTCATCACCCCGAGTGCAAACACTCCTTTTTATTGCCAAACATAGCGAACAATTATTTTCTTTTTTTGTACATAATATCGAGAATGGACTACGATTATTACAAGTCCATTGATATTTGTTACCCCTTTTGATTATAAAATTAAGGAAAGCAAAATAAAAAAGAGACAAGAAAATTTAAGTATTTAAACGAAAAAAAAAATCTTTTTATCTTTCATATTTGCACGTTTTTCTTTTTAACTTCTACTATGGTTTTTTTTTGTAAATGAAATTATCACATTAATACTAAATTCATGTTCAATTCATCAAAATTCACCAAAGTTATATAAATACTGTGGATAGATGATATTTGAAAATTGCCAATATTATGTTCAATATAATAAGACATTGCTATGTCTTGAGTACCTGAACATTATCTTCACAACCGGTAAGAGATATCTCCGGACTTGACTCGCCAATATTAGCAGTAGGCTCTATTTCATCTGCTTCTAATGCCAATGCCGCTAAAGTGTCCGAACTGCATATTCCTGACGCTTGACAACGAACTTCACATTTTTTATGACATACCATACCACAATCTCTACATTGTATCGCATCTTTTAACCAAATCTAAAGAAAACAAAATAATAAAGAGCTGATATAGTGTTGGTTATTTATATTATTTATTTATTTTTTGTTTTTTTATTAAGTTAATAGTAATAATAAGTAATAACTTCTTGACATTTTATACCTTTTTCGTGCAAAAGTCGCAATGAGTTGCTCTGTGGAAGTGCGTTCTGATAAAATCATGGAGTTTTTTTCCAGTTACTTCTTCGTTTTGAATTGGTTGAGCTTTAATAGTTTCTACATTTTCCTTTTTTACAGATTCACTAGAGATATGACGATTTGGCACATTGCTTTCCCACATGTAGGACATTAAAATGTCACCGAAACAAAGAGTAGGATCAAAACCAGAGTACCCTTGTAATTTATTATTGGATGTCGCTAAAGATGCTATAAAAGATGAAATTATTTAATGAAAGATAGGTAAGTAGTTGAATAGTAATATATATATTAATAATATACATACCACTTTCCGGTGGTAATAAAGCATGACATTTGAGATAATGACCCGTGGAGGATGTAGCGCACTGCGCTACAATTAATTTTATAGGAGCGTTAATGTATCCTAATAATTTAGGAGTATATTCGTAAGATTTAACACGACCCCATACACCTATATTTAAATAATGCTGCTCGGAATCTATTTGGAAATGTCTAGTTTCTTCAAAAGTAATTAAAGAAGCAAATCCCTTTTCTTTCGTAGTATAATATAAATCTGATAAATTAGTGACATTGGTATCGTCGATAGAATAAAATTGGACATTGCTAGACGTCGTGGATAGACTGGAAGCAGTTGAAATTCTTCTCGACGGTGTTTCAGGCATTTGAGTTGTTTCTTCTGCGATATGTGTATTACTACTTCTCCTTCTTCTAAACAATCTACTAGAAAATTCTGACTTATCTACATTCTCGCTATCGGTATCTTTTAAATCTAATAATTTAACGGGACTTTCCAATTTCATTTTGCTAAGATCATCTGTACTATCTCCCTTGATTCCAGTAGAATCAATTTTGCTTGTTTTTTTGTCTACAATTTTGTCTATAACAGACTTAGTTTCATTATCAGTTTTGATAGAAGTTTGTTTCTCCGAGTCTACTTTGACATATTTTCTTTCTACTCTAATAATGAAACGTCTCTGTACAGCGCTTTTAACAAGCTTCGCTACTTGATTCATATTGGCGATTTTTTTACCATCTACGGCTATTAAAATGTCACCTTTTTTCATCTCAGCTATAGCTGCTGGACTTCCGGATACTATAGTTTCAACTAATACGCATACTTGGCCAATTTCAGGAACAAGTTCTTGTTTAAATACTACGCCAAGTTGTTGGGAACTAATTTTGCTAATAATTAAATCTAATATCATGTAAGGTACACCGTTATATTGCGTTAAATGTACCCAAGGTGTCGAGTCTACGCTCATTGTGCAGTGCACTTCTATTTGAGAAATATCTTCTGCATTGAGCATGTTAGGCCCAACATTTAATCTACTAACTTCTAATAACGTTACTTCTAAAAATCCTGGAGTAAATTGCATACCGGCGACCTGTATAAATAGAAAATATTTGTCAAGTTTTAAATAATAATATAATAAAAAAATCATATAAAATGTACAACTTACTTCAGATAGGTCCATAACTTCGTCATTTAATCTACGGAAGAATGGTTTATAACGCATTTTGTATCGTGGCAATGTATGCTTCCGACGTACAGCTCTTCTTATTTGTCCGGTAATTAACGATATTATTTGTGGTTGCAGTTGACGACCTTGAAATTGAGATTGTACTTCCAATTCCAAAATAGGATCGGAATAAAAACTTAAAGACCAATGTGTATACGGTACACGTGTGAATTGTAATCTAGCTCGACCGGTAACTCGTTTCACTGGAAAAAGTACACCAATGTGTTAGTATTAGTATTAAAATATAATTTGATAAATCTTTGTGTTTTAATACCTTGCAGAGCCATGTAAGCTGTTTTTCCCAATAACATTTTAACGTCTATAGACATTTGAAAATTTCCTGAATAATGCAAATCAAGGGATAAATCTAATGATTCTAATAATCCAGTATCTGCATCTATCTTAGAATCAGCTACTTCCAAACCCTTTATCGTTGGAAATTGGGTACCCAAATTTAAATTTCTCAACTTAAATAGATAAACAATTATACAAATTTGATTATTCTTAAAATTAAATAATATTTTATTGATCATTTTACCTTGACACTATCAAGTAATTTTCCAGTAGTGGATTGCGTTAAGAGTTCTTTAAACTCATTGTTCAATTTTCTATAAAGCCAGAGACGAACGCGTTCGGCATCACGTAATTCGTTGAAAAGAAATTGCAAAGTAAGGTTTATCGCTAGATTTTCATTTCCTTGATAAATATTTTGTCGTGCGATATTACTATTAGGATTTGTTTTTTCATTTTGTATCTTATCAAGTAATTCCTGAGGTAGCTGCGCTTTTCCATGTTTCACTCCTTCCTCTGGAGGTTTCGCTAAGGGTCCTGTTTCCAAATATTTTTTCAACAAGTAAAACTCCAATATGAGCGTACATATTATACCGAAAACAAATGTTATCGTAGCTACAATAATTGTTTCAAAAAAGTCCATATTAAAATTCCAACTATAAGTATTGTTCTCTCTCTCTCTCTCTCTCTCTCTCTCTCTCTCTCTCTCTCTCTCTCTCTCTTTCTCACTGTATTTCCCCGACTTATTTAAAAATTCAGTTTTGAAGAGAATTAAAAGTTAATAAATAATGTTAAAAAAAGGCACTTGATCATATAATCATAGAAAAATTAATTATTTGTGTATATAAATTGAAAGAAATATTCAAGAAAAGCAAGAAAACTATTGTCAGTCTTAAAAGAAATTTGATTTTTAATTTCTTTATATATTCTTATATATATATATATATTTGTATGTATGTATTTATATATGCATGTATTATGTATGTATGTATGTTGTTTGTTTATTTATAAATACACTTAAGAACGTAGTCAATAATTCATGTTTAATTAATGATAACTTTTAAGAGAAATAATTTCACATTTAAACAATCATGATGATTCATAATTCTCTCTTCACGGATGAAAATGATTTGAAGCACTTTCACCTGTCACCACTTGGTTCGATATTACGAGTCTCAGGTATTTCATTAAAATGTTTTCGTAGAACATGACGAGTATTTGTGGAAAATTAAGGATTTAATAAATAAACGATACATTTTCTTTACGATATATGCTGCCATTAATAATACTGCGATGAAAAAAAAAAGGGAATATATATTAAAGACTAACAATAAGTCGAAAGCTCTCTATCGATTTTACGGACAGCCATGTTAGTTTCGTCCGAATTGTCATTTTGACAGATCACTCTTCGCCAAATTCGAATTAAGAAAATATTGAATATTAAATAATTCACACCTATAATATTCGCGACTAATTTAGTTTAACCTCTTTTATGGATTTTTTTTTTTATTATTAAATTTGTGCATCAATTAACTTATTATATAATTAATAGATTTATTTTTGAATTCTATAATCGTTCAGTTTAGTATTGCATATGTTTCAAAACGTGAATCATTGGTTCTACGTATTTTCTATTCACGCACACGTGAACGTACATTCGACCACACGCAGAGATATAATCGACTGATACAAATATACATACACACGTTTAGTTTAAACGTTACTTTTTAGTTTCTTCTTTTCTCACCAGGTGGACTAATTGCCTACTTCTCGGAAGATAAAACAGAAATCTAGATATTTACGGACGTCGGTAAGAAGATTGATAGGAGCATAAAAAAGTTGACATAGAACCTTAACAAAGCAGAAAAAAAAGGAATAAGAACTTTTAATTACTTACTAATAGCACATTTAAAATCCATAATTGCTCACTTTTTATTTATTAATTATTTAATTAGTTATTAACAATTGAAAATACAAAAAGGTTTTTTTTTATATATTTCTAAGCAAAGCAATAAAGTTTTCTATTATTTTTTGTTTTTAATCAATTGCCGTGACTTTTTGTTTGTCTGGCTCCTCAACTTTTTCTGCTGTTGCGATTTTATGCCAACTTTTTTGTATTGAAGTATACAGAAACTTACAAGTCCCCTTTATTATCTACCCAGTTTCATTTTTGTTATAACCGAGACCACCTTTAGACTATAGTAAGTACTTAACGCGATGACGGTACAATACTATATGTACATATGATAGTATATGATAGTATATAATCTATTCTTTGATAGTATAAATAGCATAGTTCTATTGTAATCAAATTTTAAATAAATATATTTAATTTTTAATGTATAAACATGTGTGTGTGTGTGCCTTCAGAAATGCATTTATACGTATATTTGAAAATGAAGCAAATTAAGATAGTCAAATAAAAAAGAATCCAGAAGGTTTGATGATAAATCCAACGATGATCACTTATAACAAAAAGAAAACTATATTTAATTATACAAGCAAGTGATACAATAGCTTGACATATAAATCGTCCAATTCGCAGAGATGCACTTTTCAATTGAATTCTATATTTATTTTGATCAAATCTTTATTAATCGTTGCAATGAAATTAAATTTAAACGCGTGATTTTACATTTACATAAAATAAATAAAAATAAAGAAATAGAAAAAGTAAAAATACTAAGTTANAAACGCGTGATTTTACATTTACATAAAATAAATAAAAATAAAGAAATAGAAAAAGTAAAAATACTAAGTTACTAAAAAAAATAATATCTATTAATTATTATTACTTTTAAACTGTATTATATAGAAAAGAAAAATTGTAAATGAAATAAAATACGATTACAGTGAWAAATTTTWAASAYGAAACAAGAAAAGAGAAATTAMTGTAATATTTACCGAACGTTAYTTARGCTTGAAAATTTAATAATACGAAAATTTTAATATTTTTGACTCTAACTAAATACATATGCATCTTTTAGACGATAGAGACACGAATTTGGTGCCCCAAGGAGATGAAAGGGTCCATCATCTCCAATTACAACTACAAATTAATGACGAACAAAAAAGTAACATAATAAAATATAAAATATGACTAGAGAGTTATTTTCGAAGAGTTCGAACTTACTGTTGAACCTTTGAAAATAATTCAATAGTCTGTGTAGTTGCCCACTTGATACCACAMATTTKTGGGGGCCTCTTCGGCATAATGCCTCTTCTTTCTTCATGCCCTAAACGCTGCTGTGAGGCTTTTWCTAAGCGCATTTTATAATACATTTGCTGAACAATCGCAGCCCAAAGAAATCAACAAGTCGTACAATTACATTTACTCGAATGCCTCAACAGATATTTGATCTAATCGATGAACCTATTATTAACACTTTGCATCAAAAAAATAAAATTATATCAAACAAAAGTAGGAATCTTGTCATTCATCATATGGTCTTACTTTTTTACTCGACCACTTTCCTCTTTTATCTTTACTCTAATTTGTATTTACTATACATATATAACAAATGAAGTATTYARTAGGAATTACTAAAGAGCAAAGCGTTAATATACTTAATATTAAGTAAGTATCCAACGTATTCAGCTATCTTCACTTTTTCGAAAAAGAATTAATTTTTAAGAAAACGCAAAGACTTTTGAATCGTTCGATACTGATTTATATCTCGCGGTACAGATTATCAGCAATATATGGAAAAAATACAATAAATATTTAAATGATAAATGAGTCTAAATGTTACTAAAACTTTGTATAATATCCGGAGAARAAATTGTCCACTTCCGAGTGGAAATTACAATCGCGCGAATTCTCCGGTCTCTACCTACTTACAAATTAAATAAACATTCACACCTAAGTATGCTACCTGCTTGTCTATTACCTATATTTAAAAAGATCAAACATACATACATACCCACCCACTCACTCCACGATTCTCACACATACCACCAGGGTGCAAAAGCCTAAACTAGAGAGCATGCCCCGGGGCACCTCCGACACCCTAGTTCAAACCCGTGTTTTCTAATCTTATGGGAGTACGTATCAATGCTATAATCGTCTGCCAAGGCTAGTGATTATTGCATAAATGACTAATGCAAAAATACAAGTATAAACTAGTGTATATATGCATACTAGTTATATACGAGTATATTATAGTTTCCACAAATAAATGCGGTAAACTCTACTATGCAAAACGATTGTTAAGAAAAAAAAAAGAATTCGTATCGTACGCGTGACTGTAGTGCGTGTACAGGCATTTATGAATGTTATTTATTTTTGTAGGACTTTTTCGAGGTGAAAATAGAAGAAAGACAGCCGAAACAAAACGTAAACAGTCGAACGTTGGACGAATGATAAGCAATAACGTATCTCATTCTCCTGCCGTCCTTTAACGAGTTGAGATCTAACACGAACGTGTAACGTATTAAACTATTTAATAATTTTATTTCTAACGTGTTATCTAATGAAAACATTCGACAATTGTGCTGATTAGACAACTTTTTATATCTGACATTGATTCTTTATGATAGAATATATTTTAAAGTGTGTGAAATGTCTTCAGGAATGATTAACAGGGAATATTGTACTATAATATAATCTTTAGTATGTTTCAGTTTTACAGATTTTTTTATTTTATTTTATTTTATTTATCGTCATCCTAAGGGTAGGATAACTCATCCTGCAGTCATCAATGAAGACTAAAAGTAAGTATATTTTTCTATCAAACATTTTTCTATAATAACCTCAATGGTGTTTTATTACGACGATGACATTAATTGTTCATTTTCTTTTTCTGTTTCAGAACGTCATTGCAATCGAGCGCGTAGGCAATGAAGTACTCGGTTGTTGTATCGTTAAAATCAAATATAAAATAATCGGAAAGTAGAATCAGTGTTGATCGTCGCATGTTAAAAAAGTTTCGTTTTTTCGGGTAAAGAACTCCGTAAGTTTCTTTTATTCTTAAAAAGTGTGCCCTTCGTCATCCTAAGGGTAGGAGGCCCATCATGCATTCATCACTGAAGAATAAACGTAAGTCAATTTTTATTTTAAACACTTTCTTAATAATTATAATAATTTTTTCTTACAACAATGATATTCATAATTTTGTTTTTATTTTTGTTTCAGATCATCATGGGAATATTGCATCGTTGGAAGTGTTTATGAATTGTGTTTGTGAAGTGTTTCAAGTGTTCTTGCATTGAAATCGTGTTTGATCGTTTAAATATAATTAAAATCACGGATTAGAAGCACGTTCGTTCGTTAATTTCAATTCCGTCGCGTTCGCGAACTATTTTTGCAATTTATACATTAAATTAACTGCGACCAATGCAGTAATTGCATTAGAGTTTGTTCGAGTAAAGTTGTACTTTTATCTTTAAACAGTCGCACAGACTGTTCCGCGTATTAGAATCAGTGCATCAATGAAGATTTTAAATTAAACGCGTTTCGGGATTAAAATAAAGTGTGAAATTTGTTTGTTTCAATAGACTGTGTGCAAAGCAGTCTTTGAATTAGTTGTAGAATCAATGAACGGGCGTAAAACAAATTAAAATCAAACGCGAATTAGATTCAGTGTTGTTCGTCGTATAATTTAATTCCAGTTTCGCGATAAGAAACTCATCTATAGTTTCTTATTTTCGTTTATAYYGYRTYWTTAGATTCACGCGAGGTGCATCGCCATGGTGCAATTGAGTTTCATCCCATTGGAATGCATTGTAAGTATTCATTTTTATTAACATTTTATTCGATTTTATTTCATATGATTTTAGATCATATTGCAGATAACTTATTGCTTTGTTTTATTTTATTTTACAGATATGAAGACGGACTTTCTACCTTATCAAAGATGTGGGATGAATTCTTCGATGGATCTTGGATAGAAATTCTTAAATATTTGCTGCAAAGTAGGAGTGTTTTGGAGCCATCGTAGAACTTCTTACGGAGTGAGTCAGAAAATTTAAAGTCCCTCCAGTGCTCAATCATGTCGAGGATGAAAGGTTCTAATCGGCACGAGTTACTGGTTGTAATTAATTAAATAAATTAGTGACGAGCACATGAGTAATTCCTTTCTAGGAGTTACTCATGAAAATTGTATATTGTATTGTATTGTATTGTATGTTTTATTAGTTCAGGATAGGTTTTCTTGTCTCACCGGTGTTAAATTCATTTAATTAATAATGCAATTAATTAATGTACTTTCTTTTTTATTACGTGTTTTGTTCGTGGTTAGTAGTGATGAAACCGAGCATTAATTTACTCGTTTTCGTCCAGAAAAGCATGTAATAAATGTTTTACATGCATTGCTTCGTACTTAGTTTATTTAATCGCGATTAATTTCGATATATCGATACTTCGATATTATAAATAAATGAGCAAGAAGACAAACCAAATACGCGAACGGATAGATTCTAGCAATTAAGTGGTGGCTCAAAGCCCAGTTCTTTTATTAGAACAGCYAACTTAATGAAAGGATTCGTCCGAGGTTGTTTATTATATATTTATTTTCCTTTTTTAAAATATTCCTAAATATTAAAAAATAAAATTTAACTATTCTTGCATAATTAAAAAGTCAAATTAAAATGACTTGTAGAATCTTAGCTCGTTTAGATAATTTTTTTTATTAAAATGTTTTAATGTATTTATGTATGTTAATTATGTTTTTTTAGATCAGGATTTTCAGCTTCTAATATATTAATCTCCCGTTTCTCCCCCTATACTTTCTGCGTTCTCATCTATGCGTGTGCCCAGGTGTTACAGGTATGGGTGAGAAACGGTTGTTATGGGTTTAGTTTTAAGTTTTTTCCCCCCTATTGGCGGCTGTCATTGTGCTAGTGATTGCACGGTGTACATTGCACTTGCGTGTGCGTTAGGTGTGAGCATTGTACATCGTTTCGCGATACGTATTACCACACTTATTATTTTTTAAAGTTATTGAATAAAAATAACTTGTAAAGTCACGCGTACGATACGAATTCTTTTTTTTTTCTTAACAATCGTTTTGCATAGTAGAGTTTACCCCATTTATTTGTGGAAACTATGATATACTCGTATATAACTAGTATGCATATATACTAGTTTATACTTGTATTTTTGCATTAGTCATTTATGCAATAATCACTAGCCTTGGCAGACGATTACAGCATTAGTACGTACTCCCATAAGTTTAGAAAACACACGTTTGAACTAGGGTGTCGGAGGTGCCCCGGGGCATGCTCTCTAGTTTAGGCTTTTGCACCCTGGTGGTATGTG